CTTTTCCATATGTCTCTATCTTTACTATCAATTTTGGTGCTGTTTCTAGAGGGTCTTCTAAGATGATAACCAGATCATCTGCAAATGCTTGCAGCTTAAATTCTTCCTTTTTGATTTTCATTCCTTTTATATTCTTTTCATCTCTAATATTTCTGTTTAGCACTTCCAAAGTTAACACAAAGAACCAAGGTGATAGTGGGCACCCTTGTCTTGTTCCTTTTCTTATATTGATAGAGTCTGTCAGTTCTCCCTCTATCATTACCTTTGCCGTTTGCTTATAGTATACAGCTCCTATTGCTTGAATAAATTTTCTAGCAAAGCCTATCTGTTCCAGCAGTAATAACATGAATCACCAATTCACATTATCAAATGCCTTCTGTGCATCTAGAAATATCAGAGCCATTTGTTTTTCCAGGATGTGCCTCGTAGTATTCCAAGGTATCCAAGATTACTCTCATATTATCTTTAATTTGTCTCTTTGGCAGAAATCCATTTTGATCAAGATGAATAAAATTATTTAGATATTTTTTAAGTCTTTCTGCCAATATTGAAGCAAAGATTTTATAATCTGCATTTAGTAGAGAAATAGGTCTATAGTTCTTAATTTGTAATGGATTGGCCTCCTCTTTTGGAATAAGTGTAATATAGGCTTCTGACCATGATTTAGGTATCTTCTTCTTTAACATAACTTCATTCATAACTTCTAGCAATGGAAGATTCAACGATTCTTGTAATGTTTTGTAAAATTCTGCCGGAAGTCCATGTGGGCCTGGTGCCTTTCCATTATTTTGCTTCTTGAGTGCTTCAGTTAACTCCATCATCGTTATATTGCTTTCTAACATTGTTTCAATCTCTTTAGGTATCTGAGGTAAATTAGCATTCTGTAAGTACTGTTTAACTCTTTCCTCATCAATATTCTCTTGCATATATAGTTTCCCATAGAAGTCTCGAATGATTTCCTTCTTCTCTTTACTACCATAGCAAACTTGGCCTTGGTCATCTGTTAATTGCAATATTTTCCTTGATTCTTTCTCCTTTCTCAATTTATATGCTAACCATCTACCTGGTTTGTTTGCGTCTTCAAAGTAGTTCTGTTTAGCACCTCTAATTTTCTGTGCTAATTCTTCTTTTTCTATTTGACCCATTTTATGTTTAACTATATCCATTTTTATCTTGATGTCCTTTTTCTGTGGCATTTTCTGTAGCTCTTTTTCAAGTCTTTTATACTCATCCTCTAGGGCCTTAGAGGCTAATCTTTTCATAGTATTTCTTTTCCTTGTATAGTCTATTATCAAGCCTCCAACATATGCCTTCATTGTATCCCATACATTCTGAATTGATGTATCTTCTTTTTTGTTTTCTCTAAAGAAAAAAGGCAATTCTTTCTCCATCCACTGTGTGAAGTCTTTTTCCTTTAAAATAGTATTATTTAAGGTCCATCTAGATCTTCTTTTTTGTCCTTTCCATTTAATTGTCATTGGATTGTGATCTGCCCAAATACTTGTTTCAATATTTATTTCTTGAATATTAGTTATTAATTCTGTTGTCATCCATATCATATCTATTCTGGACCATGATAAGTGTCTATTTGAATAGAAGGTGTATTGTTTAGTTTTAGCATTTTGTTTCTCTCCATGTATCTTTTAAGTTTATTTCATTACCATTTTAAAAAAAGATTTAGGGAGAGTCTTTCTGTTTTGCTTTATTGTTTTCTGTGCTGTATAGTCCAATTTATTGTCTACAATTCCATTAAAATCTCCTATCATAACTATATTAGCATAGTCCAGTTCAATTATTTTCATATGTAATTTTTTGTAGAATTCTTCTTGTTTGTCATTTGGGGCATAGATTGCAATCAGGAGTGTTTTCGTATTATTGTCCATTATTTCCACCATTAGTATTCTTCCGTTATCATCGGTATAAATCAATTTTGCTGGGATGGTCTCTTTAATATATAAAACCACTCCTCTTTTCTTACATTGTGTCAAGGAAGTAAATATTTTCCCTAGTTTTGGCTGTATTAACAATTGTTCATATTGTTTTTAATATGTACTTCTTGTAGACAAATTATAACAAATTTTAATTTCTCTAATTTATGAAAGGTTTTCCTTCTTTTAACGGCTGAGTTAAGTCCATTTATATTAATTGTAATCAGTTTTTTCTCTTCCATGGTTATATTTTGTAGTTAGGTTTAGCAGCTCTCGTAGATCTTGGTTCACGTTGTTCTTTGGCTTCCACCTTTCCACCTACTGCACCTTCTTCTTTTTCAATCGCCATTTGGCAGTCCTCTTGGAATTCAGTTAGTGAGATTTCTTTTTCTGCCTCTTCCTCTTTCCCTCCAAAAAATTCTGTATAAAATAATTCCGCTTTCTCAATTGAGTCAATTCTTTGTCTCTGTTCTTGCCATGTAAACATTAAACCTTCTGGAATCAGCCATCTATAATTCACCTCTTTTTTAAGTAGCATTTTAGTCAGGAATCGGTATTCTCTTCTCATCTCTCTCACTCTTCTGGGTATTTGTTTCAAGACCACAATCTCCTTGTCTTTATATTTCAATGTTTTCTCTTTTGCCACTTGCAATATTTGCGTTTTAATGGCTTTCTTTGTAAATCTAATGTGAACTTCTCTTGGTAAGCTATTTCTCATCGCATATCTTGTGAAAACTCGATAAACCTCATCTATTCCATCCATCATCTTCTCTTGAGTTATTTCCAAAGCTTCAGCCAGTATTTCTATCATTATCTCAGCTAAGTTTTGTCCTTTTTCTTCCTCTACGTTTTGGAATCTAAGATAGAATTCTGATCTATCCATCTCCCATCTCAACATTCCACTTTTATCTTGTTCAACCACCGTTAATCTATTATCGATATCTCCAATCTTCTTGTCTCTTTGTTTATCTTCTTCAATTTTTTGGAATCTCTCATCATACTTCAACATCATTTGTTGGATGTTCTCCACTTTTTCATCGGTTTTCCCTGTTCTTTGTTCAGTGTTCTCTGTTCTTTGTTCAATGTTCTCTAGTCTCTTTTCAATATTCTCTGATCTTGCTTGAATATTTTGAATTCCTTGCATAATCATCTGCAGAGTCACTTTTTCTTGTTCTTTTTCTTGCTTTAACATTGTCTGTATTGAACGTTGTTCTCCAGATGGTGGAGAGGAGGAAGTAGAAGTTGAAGAACCAGGAGCTGTAAGTTTCCTACTCATTTTAAGCAATTCAAAATCTTCGGGTTCTTCTAAACCTTAATCCAATTGTGAAATAACCAATTGTAGTTCGAAATAAAAATAGTAGAAAAAAGAAGCCAAATAGTAATGATAAAAAAAAGAAGAAAAAAAGGGAGGACAAAATTTCTTCAGGTTCTTGTATACCTTAATCCAATCGATGGTTAGATGAAGAAAAAGGCTTGAAAAAAAAAAAAGAAAAGGAAAAATTATTCAGGTTCTTCAACACCTTAATCCAATTGAGAGGTCTCAAATAGAAAAGAGTGCATAAAAATAAACCAGAAAGGTAGATGAAAAAACAAAAATACCAGGAAAGAAGAAAAAAAAGCTATTCCCTTTTAAAAAAAAGGAAACATTAATACTAAAGCTTTCCTTTTAAAATAAAAAGCAAGCGTAGAGATTGGACTTCCAAAGGGAAAAAAAAGAAAAACAAAGACAAGCTCCAACAAAGCCAAAGATCCAAATAGCTATTGCAAAAAAAAAAAAAAAAGATAAAATGAAATAAAATAAAGCTGGTGAGGAGGGATAGTACAACTTAGAAAAAGTAAAAAGAGCACACTGCACTTTGTTTAATTATCCAAGTCTCTTATTATAGCTCTCTTCTCCAAAAACTTATCACCGTTTTTCCCCTCTAGGTTTCAACACCAGACTCCAGCTGTTTATAGAAACCCCGAAGAGCACCTGCAATAATACTCTCCCATGCTCTTCCCTCTATCTTATCAAACAGGCAGTGTCCTTGAAAAACTCTCAATTCTTTCTCAGCTTTGTCTGGTCAAAGGAAAAGTAGAGTATTTCCAAGCCTCTAGTTGGCAGTGTTACAAAGTTTCTTTAGCTTTCACTTTCCACCTCCTTTTCCAGCAGAGTATAATAAGAATTAGTTAAAAAAGGAAGAAAATATTTAAAAAAAAGACTAAAAGGGAGTCTCTGACTTAATATATTATAAAATCAAAAAAGGGAAAGAAAAGAGTAGATAAAAAAAGGAAAAAACCAGTCCAGTTTCGAAATATAGGATCATCAGCAATAAGAAAAAAAATTAAAAATATTACTTTGACATTCCTGTTTAAAATCGCCGCTTATTCACTTCTGTCAAAAAACTTTTACAGATTCTTTCTTTCCCTTAGGGTGTCCTCTCAAATCTTTAAATAAAGAAAAGTTCTCACCAAATCGGCACACTTTCTCTTTCGTTCTCTTTCATTTCAGAGCTGTCCCAACTTCAGCAGCTTTAATGGCTGCCTCTTTGACGCTGGCAAAAAGAGCTTCTCCTGGATCTGCCAGGGACTTTGCGATATCCCTGGGATCGACAGCATGTGCTCTTTACATTCACCGTCTCTTCAGGAAGGTTTAGATCCACTTGGACTGTCCAGGAACAAAGATATCGGCAGCGATCTCAGACCTCCAAGATCGCATGCCATATCGTTGCGATGCCAGCTCCGACCCCAGCAGGAGATTCTTATACAATCAAAGAATAAAAGGGTTAGAAGTGTGTGTTTGTGTGTTTGTGTATGCATGGCTGTCAATGACATGTTCCAGAAGGGTTATAAGGAAGTGTGTGTCGCATGTGTGTGCATGGCTGTCAAAACTCCAAAAACAGATCAAGTAGCTCTGGGGAGGTCAGTCATAAATTAGAACACTTGCTAAGCAACCAGCCATTAAGCGAGGACCACTTGTATTTGGTTTGCCAGTCACATGGCCACACCCACCCAGTCACATGGCCACCAATCCATGCCTACCTGGTCATGTGACCACCAATCCATGACCACCTGATCACATGACCACCAAGCCACACCCACAAATTAAGCCACACCCACAGAACCAATTGTTACAAAATTTGACTCCCACCCCTGCATTTATCTTACTTCAGAAGTAGCCTGTAGTACTATATTCCAACCACTGCGCCACCGCGACTCTCAAGGGTGGCATGTCAATTGTAGATCCCAGTGCCAGTTGCCAGAGCCATGTTTCAACATTCCAGTAGGCCGCGAATGGAAGAAGGAGATGAACTAGCACAAAACTATGCTCTTTACCCCCGCTCCCATGATACCTTGACTGATGGTATTAAAGGCAGCCAAGAAGTTAAGAACAACCAGGATGGGTAGCTCTATGCAGGTCTATCAGAGGTCATCCAAATGCACGATCAATGCCGTTCCTTATCTTATATCTGGGTTTGAAACCCAGGTTCAGATAATACAAAGTTAATGGTATAGAACAGATCTTTGTGTTCTACACATATTTTAATATGTCTCATTTATTTTGATTTACTGTTATTAAGATATTACTATTATCATTAATTTGGAGGTTAATTTATACATGTTCATAAAATGTGCACCCTAGGATGCACATTTAATAATATGTATAAATTAATAAATTAAATTGACCTCCAAATGAATGGTAATATAATAACTCCAAATGAATGATATGCGTATGTGTGACATTTTTAATATTCAAGGCAACTCTATATTAATTGATATTGATTTTTTAAACAATCTTGCAGAGTGGGCAACTTGTGTAGCATGGTCCCAAGAAAGAAAGAAACCCTGGAGACTTACTATCATTTTTTTTAATAAACAACAACGTCAACAACAAAAGAAATGAAGCAAGGTATCAGTTTGATTTAAATAACTCTTAAAAAAGCACAACACACAAAAGTAAAATATTCTGACTCTATTTTTCACAAATTATTGTATCCAGCTTGCCTGTTTCTATTTTATTTGATCAGAATATAGTTCATCCAATGAAGCCTCAGCAGTTTGAAAGATTAGTTGAAACTTTGCTGGACCCAGCCAATCTTGAATGATCAGAAGAATTGCATTATTGCTGTATTTTATTTAATATAAAGGAGGAGGAAAAAGAGACAAAGAATGGAAAATTAATTGAAGATAGTTTTGTTTTTCACTATTAAAGGATTCATGATTCACCATTTTGTTCAGGGATAATTATGTTTTAAACAAATTATTTAAACATTCTAAAGGAAACTCAAATTTATTTTTGTCGAAGAATACTGTATATAGTGGTTCACATACAGTTCTATAATTATTCTTCAAATAATTGTATTAGAAAGTCTTATGAATATTTTGAATTAGATACATTATCTGAGATTTACTGGACTTTATCTTACATTTCTAGGACTAAATATAATTTTTCCCTATTGTTTTATACCAAGTCTTCATGCAGCTGGGCAAGATCAAAGAACTAAGGTATCTTTAATAAGATACCTTTAAGGTGGGTTAAGTGTAAATGCAGAATCTTAGAAACTGATTTCAACACTCATTATAGTGAATTAATTAAGACAGAATTTTTGGTTCTTTTTTTGTGATCCAAAATTCATTTTTTAAAATGTTTTTTGTTTCTTTCTACCTGACTGGTTTCAGTTCCTGTTAATGAGACCGGAGTCAGGTGCCTTTTCTGCTGTCATTTTATTGTTAATGTCTGTTCTCCATTGTTTGTCCAGCCTCCCCCAGTGTCTCTGATTGCATTGTTACAACCTCAGAGTATCAATCTTCATACGAGTAATAATGCCTGTATCATAAAATTAAATAAACTCATGCCTATATAGTATACTGGTTCAGTCAAACTTTGCAAATTTTTGAGTCCATTTGAAATACCTGGAAAATCAGAATGGTGATGTGCAAATAATTACCAAATGACTTGTGGGTGGGAAAGAAACCAACATTGTTGTCCCTTGTAAATTATAATGGAGCACCTATATATTATTCTCCAAAAATAACTTTGTTAACACAACAAATATCTCTTTGTAGACCAGAATTTTATAGTGATTAAAATACAGTAAACTACTATAGATATTTGACTAATTATGCCAAGTTTTCTGCAATTTTTATAGGATGAGAAATTTCATGGGCCTTTTTAAAATTTTCTCTCTCCAACCACACTAAGAAAAGAATCAGCGTTTCTATGTAGATATTTAAATGACTATTTAACCAGGTAAATAACAGGAAAGGATTTTTAATTTTGTTGACTGGATTAAAAGGAGCCCCAGTTTTATAGTTTTGTATCTGTATTATGAGAATCAAACAAAGACAAGAATAGTAGTTTGAGTAAGGTTTAATATAATACCCCTTCCAAGGTTTATATAGGTTTATAATATAATATGATACCCCTTCAAAGGTTTATATTTTTTAAAAAAATTATTTTTAAATGGCATATTTTAAATCTCCTTTCCTGGCTCAGCTCAGAAATTGAAATCCCATACTCCCGTAGAGTACTGAAGATGAGTGTTTTAGCTTAACAGAAATATTATTTTTCCAATCACGTCCTGATAAGAATCAGTTCTTTTGCTTAAAATCAGAAGAGTCCAATTTTATTAAAAAGTGCAAAATAAGTAATAGATACAAGCATTACATTATGATTCACAGCAGGGAAAGAAATAGCTGATATTAATATATTCCATGGTACTCCATTACGCTGGTTTGTAACAATAATTATATTGATTGAGCCAATATAATTGAAAAATCATTGAGCAAAATGTCAAAAAAGGCTATTTCATAATGTCTCAACAAACCAATTTTTAACATAGTTATAAGATACTGTATTTGTAATCTGTGCCATGAGTAATTTGCATATACATATGCAACTTCTCTGCCCTTCCCTTTCCCCATACCCATCTCAATTTAAATCCTCCTTTAATTTATCTATTCTATGCATCTGTTGAAGTGAGGTGTAGTTCACAAAACCTTTTTACTGGAACAAAGTTCATGAATTTGAAAGACTTTGAGATTTTGAGCTATCATAAATGATCTGTAACATACAGTATCTCTCCTATAATATTTGCATCTGGAATCAATTTGATCTGTTTCAAGTCAGAGTTTTGTGCAAATTATCTGTTTGGAGGAGGAAATCCTCATCTTACTGCATTAAGTGAGTGGTTGGGTAGGTAGGTGGGAGGGAAGGAAGGAAGGAAGAACATTCAATTCCGAACTTCAGTTTCTTGACAAGCAGATTTCAGAAATACCAAGTTTTTATGTATGTCTGTTTTTCTCTCTATTTAAGTAAGAATTCACTTATTTTATTTTTAAGACACATTTAGTTGTCAATTCAGTTTAGAAGAACTCATTATATAAGTTTTACATACGTTTCTAATTGTCACGGTCATATGACTAAAAGAAGATTTTTAACAATCATTTCAGACTCAAACTATGAGAGGAAGACAGTGCAGCATAGGAGAAATATTTAGATTTGTGGTTCTCATAATAGAAATAGAAAAATGTCAGTGTGGATTATGTTACTTTTCACTAAATGCTTCCATTCACTAAACAGCTCTGAATGATTTTTTCCCCCATACTGAAAACTCCTCTATAATATGACCACATAACAAAACAGGGGCATCCAATGTGAGGCTTTGGTTATCTTTATATTAAGTAGAGGTAGAAAAGTCATGTGAATCAAGAATGGCACAGGAAGTTGTCATTTACCAACCGCTCTTTCAGCGACTCTTCAAAGTTGCAAGGTCCTGAAAAAAATAACTTTGTGGCCAATTTATGATTGTTCATTATCTTTACATTTAGTACATATTGTGGGTTTGATCTCTCCTCCCTCCCCTCTCCCTGGGAAGTGGAATGGAGACATTGAAAAATAATACACATCAAAGGCAATAGGGAAATCACTATTGAAATCACTTGGTAGAATCTTTCTTTGGAGGGAAAGGCAAGGATAGAATAGGGGCTGTGATTGGCATGTGAGAAGGGGATGCCTGCTCCTGTGTGGGGCTGCAAAGTAAGAGGGAAGAAACATGTACCTCTTTTCTACCACACTTCTATCAAATTTCTCTGTCTCCCTGAAGTCCAAGTTTTATTTATTTATTTATTTTGTCAATCGCTTACAAGGTAATAGGTATAAGTATAAACATGAGTAAGAATACAGGAAATAGGTACAAATAAATGGGGACAATAGGACAGGGATGGTAGGCACGATGGTGCACTTATGCATGCCCCTTATAGTATTATAGTATTTTTCTCTAAATACTAGCTGTGTGGTTTTTGGAATTGCATTATTTAAATAGAATACCTGTGAATAGACAAAAGCCTTAAAGTGATAGGCTCTCTGATAGGAAGCTATTAACCTCAGAAAAAATTGATATTACCTTTAGTAGATATAGAATTTAATTGTTATTTTATTTGCTGCATTAATCTGTAGCATTTGTTAATAAAGAACAAGAATTTGGGTTTTTGTTAATAAAATATGAGCCTAGGATATGGAAGCAAGTAAAACACTTGTGTGTGTAGCTGAATTAAATTATAATTTGATTACTCAAGATTGCTCTACTTGTCAGACTTTCTTGGTTTATTCACATTATTTACTTTACAGACAGTAGCCCTCTGTTTGAACTTTAGAATTAAAGATCACAGATAGAGAGTGCTGGGCCCTAAATTAATTTAAGAAGCATCTTGCGGGCAGATTTTGGACTTTTCCCCATTACTGAGTTAAAATGTTCTCCATTTAACCTTGAGTTAACAAAATATTACACTGCCATACAATTTATTGTTCCATTGACGACATTTAGTCTGGGTCAATTTCTTTTGTACTTAGTAATTTGATTTGCCTTCAAGAAAACAAGTAAAAACAAATTCCAAACATCTTGAGTTTGTCCTTGATCAATGTTATAATAATAAAAAATACTTATTTAATATGAATACTACTTTACCATTGACAATTTAACCCTGTCACATATTTAAGCTAGGAATAAAACATCACGTGGAAATGTCACACAATAGGCTGTAGGGCATGTTTGTGCCATGGTGATAGTTGCAAATGAGAAAATGCAACGAGAAACTATGAAACTTTATTTATTTATTGACATCATAATGTTATTAAAAATTAAATATATTTTATTAAGTATTTTAAATGACATCTTTGTGCATTTTCTTTCTTTTGGAATATAAATTTCTCTATGTAAATCATCAGCATATCTTTATTCATCTTGTGTGATATCCTGGGGTTCCACATATGGTCCGAGGAATTGTGAATGCAGTCCCAAGAGTCCTTATCACAATTGCAGCTGACATGCTATTGTATTAGAGGAAGAAGAAGAATTATTATGTACGTGGAGAGTAATCATACTAACTATATTAACTATATTTTATGAAATATAGTTTCTGTGCCACGGATATATTCCAAAACAAATATTTTGGAATATGCTTATAATTAGCATTTGGCAACATTCTTAAAATCTCATACTCTTTCTTAAATAAATAAAATGAAGAGATCAGGATGACCTCGTTTAAACAAAGCATCTTCTGTTTTGTCATTTACATGGGCTGAAAAATTATAAAGATAATTCTCCAGGCTTCCTTGTGCCCTCTTCCCTGGCCTTCTTATACTTTATATTCTACATGTACGCACACTGTGCGTTTTTCCCCTGCCTTCACACACTTACTTTCTTCCTCTGGCCTTTCTTAGCTTGCGCTGTACCACAGTATACTCTGCCTCAACTTGTATGCAGCCTTTGTTGGCCTCCCACAGTTTCCCCTAGCTCCCTGCATCAGCCCTGTACTCTTTACCTGGGACTCCCTCTGCTTCTCACTTAATGACCCACACCTTCACTACGCTAAGTGATGTGGTCAAGTGTCTTCATATTTTATAAATGC